CACACACACACACACACACCACTGCTAATTAGAGACCTGTAGTTATTTGTTTTTACATTTTAGCACACTATTCAAGAACATTCGAAGTAGGAAAACTTTCTGTTCTTTCCATTTCACAAAACGTATCTCCAGTGTTTCATTATAAATAATGTTGGTTCTCACTTGAAAATATGGTTATGTAAAGAAGAAATGTTCCTATTGGTGATTTTAAAAACTTCACCTTTAAAAACTATGCATATTGAATACAATCAAATATTGTTTCAGGCTCCTTTTTGTTGTACTGATAGAATTACATGAATTGCTAAGTGGCAACTAAGTTGATTATTTCCTTGTTCTAAAATGCCAGTATTCTAATGATGCAGTGCTTGCCTGAAATGTATTATTTTTACCTCTACTACACCGTTTTGTCTGAACATATTTTAGCAGAGTGCTAAAATGATAATTCGATATTTACTATTCACTTAACAGTGTTTTTCTTGTTTCTTCTACCTGTGTCCATATTTCCAGAATGTGAGTTATGCAGGTCTGATATGTGATGGACAAATACCTGTCCTTTAACCTTTTTCCATATCTTTCACAAGAACTGCAATCTGAGAATATAAACAGACATTTACAAGGCTAATGAAAAGAGATGAAGACTTGACTGTCATGATTCCATCATGAAGGAAGAAACTAGTTGTTCTGAAGTGGGGTAGACGTACCACTTAGCCAAATGGCAGGTGGTGAGGAAATGACAAATGTCCTCTTTTGTTCCCTAGTCTTTACTGAATTGACAACCTACTCTCATTTTTGAGACAAGATCTCATTATGTATTCCTGGCTGGACTGGACCTTGCTATGTAGCCTGGGCTTGCCTTGAATTCAGAGATCTACCAGCCTCTGCCTACTAGTGCTGGGATTAAAGGTGTGCACCACAACTGATGGTCAATTTTGATTTTCAACTGTATGTTGAATGCTGAACTAGGAGCTTCAAATTGCACTTAGTATAAATTGTAGAAGTTAGCAGGATAAATCTTGAAACACGACTTCAGTTATAATTTAACCCAAGCCACACAGAGGTATTCACTGTTCATCATATAGCCTATTGAGCTAATGAAAAAAATATTTTCCATTTATAAGATTAACTTATAGCAACCTTTAGAACCTAATTCTTTGGTTAATCAAGCACTGCTTAAATTTTGTCAACCTTACTGAACATTAAATTGATAAGTTAAAGCTATTCATTTAATCATACATATAAACTCTAAATTTTTGTTGTATCAGCTCTGACATTTACAAATACTCTATTCATGATTAGCATTTATTTCAGTCTGTAAAATCCAGAAATTTTCAGATACTATGCTTTTTAAAATTACCTACCCAACTATAATGTGTTCCTATAAAGTGTCATAAAGACTAATGCCCTAGGGATGGTAGCTTAGAACCTTGAGTCTTTTGAGACTAAACATGGGATGATTACCACTGGTTTGCCTCCAGGCTGGGCTATATAGTGAGCTCTAGGGCAGCCTACACAGTAATGTAAAATCCTATCTTACATGAAAAAAAATTAAAAAGAAAAAGATAAATGGATAGGAATACAACAAAGAGGGAAGACAGTTAACCATTTAGCCCTTTCTTTAAGAAATCAGATACTTATCTTATACTTACTTCATTGGGCTTTTTTTCTATATGCCAAAAATATTCTTTTTGATGTCCAGTCCTGATAAATGTATGACGTTATCTAACCACCCTGACAATAGATGATTTAGTATTCCAACTTTTCTACACTGTATCTCACTTAGTGTTCTACTTATAGAACTCAAGATGTCTAAAAGATAGTCATATAAACATACTCACCAAGTTGACGAAAATTTGGACCTTATACTCAGGAGAAATCTTGCCTGAAGCTAAATATTAGGGAGTTTTTGCCTATATATTTGGCTAAAGTAGTGTCAAACTGTCCTAAGTATAAGCAAAATGAAGGCAGTTGATGAAGTCTTGGGATATACAAAAGACGAATAGCAAAATGGGAAAAGATTAGTGCCATAACACAAAGGAAAGGCAGGGGACAGTGGTAATACAGAAGTTATAAAAGAAGAACATTCAGGAACTGATAGTGGCTAATGGCAGCAAAGCAACACTGGGTTAACATAAGAATTGAAGAAAATGAAGCAGAGGTTATCCAGAGTTGCTGTTTACTACTGTGTTATTATACAGGAAACAGAAATAAAAAGAGACTATAGTGGCTCATAGAACATGTTAACTCAAGAAAGAAAGAACAAGAATATTGTTACCAGTTGAAAAAGCCTGTTGAATAAGACTACTACAAGTACAGAACACACAAAATAAAACAGATTGCATAAAATATGAAACAAACCCTTGAGGTAGAGATATTTTATATTAAAAGTAAAGTCAGCACTCTCTGGAATTTATTCAAGTGAGATACAGTTTTATGTCCACAGAAAATCCTGAACACAAATGTTGATATTAGTTTTATTTATAATTACCAAGACATGGAAAGAAGCAAGATTTTTTTTTTAACAGATGAGTGCATAAACTGTGGCAAATCCATACAATGCATTTTTACTTAGCAATGAAAAGAAGTGAGCTATGCATCCTGTTTAGCCATGGGGAAAAACTCAAGATACACAAAAAGTTACGTGCTGTGGTGTTCTGAATAACTCTGTGACACTGTGGAAATGTTAAAAACTATGCTGATAAAACCAAATAAGTGGTTTCCTATAGTTCTAGGAAGAAAAGATGGAGATGTACATTTACTACTTTACATATTGCTGTAATTAAATACAAGGAGTAATCTAAGGAAGGAAGAATTTACTTGGCTAATTGTTTCAGAGTATAGTCCAGACAGCAAGAACAGCTTGCAGCTGTGTAGGCAGAGGAACGAGGTTGCTTATATCACAGTGAAGCAGTGATGGGAAAATGACGAGAGCCAGAGCCAGAGCCAGAGCCAGAAGCAGAGTTTAGCTATAATTCCTAAGACCTGCTCCCTAGAAACTCACTTCTTCCAGCTATGTCCCACCACCTAAAGTTTCACAGCACCCCCTCCAAACAGTGCCACCACCAATATCCAAGTAGTAAAATACATAAGAACATCCCACAAACCATAACAAATGAATAAAGAACATTTTAGGACACTGATATTATTATGGTGGGTATATGTCATTAGACAGTTGTCAAAATCCACAGACGTTCAAGACAAAAAGAGTGCTCTATCTAACATGAACTATGAATAAGTTTAATGTATCAAGACAGTATCATCAACTGTATCATCATTTGTAACAAAGGTATCAAGCCAGTGTAAGAGGTGAATGATAACATGGCAGCTCTAATTTTCATTCAACATTTCTCTAATTCCCAAACTGCCATTAAAATACAGTAAGCAGAAAGGAGTAGGTAGAGAAGGAATTAGAAGCAGTTTACACATACTGGTCTTGTACTTATTAATGCAGTCTCTATAAAGAATCTATAATGATGGTATGTCTCCTAATTGAGTATTTTTATGATATAAATACCCAAGAGGCAAGTGAACTAGTACTTGCTGATTCAAGAAAGTTAAAGATTAACTTGCAAATGCTTCACTTTCTTCCTTAATTTGCCAAGTTTCCTGAAGTAGGAATCATTTTTCAGCCTACTGTTTCATTACAAGTTGTGGGATATAGGCCAACCACATATTTAATTTTGTTATACAAAATGTTATACTTCTTAAAATAATTATTTAGGAAGAATCTACTCTTTAATATATCAACCTGTTTCTGTGAACAGTAAAACATCATGAAAACAATCTTTGAATATATGTACAATTATAGGGATCCAATTGGTGATATTATATTCAAATGTACCCTTACATTTCAAATTCTTTTATTTATAACTACACACACACACACACACACACACACGCACACACACACACACACATACACACACACACAAAGAAAGAGAGAGAGCTAGAGAGAGAGAGAGAGACAGAGAAAGAAAAAGAGAGAAAAAGAGAGAGAAAATTTTCTATTTTTGGTAGGCTTCATTGTGTAACAATTCAAAAACCCTGATAAAAACCAGTAATTTTAGAATAAGTATGCTGTCTTATGCCTATTTAAAGGTATCAGCAAAATCTACACAGTTAAAAATATTAAAATACTGCATTTTTCTGATATTTTCACTGATTGTGCAAAAGTACAATTGGCAAAAACAACTGCCTCTCACAAAAAGCAGAGAGAGCACTGACACCAAACAACTAACAATGATGGCAGTCTCCACAGTGAGGCTCTGGTGATACAAACTATCCATTTGCCTAGGAATATCCTTGATGAAACAGTAAAACTGATTACTCTCATTAATCTTTAATATGCACATCCTTTAGTACTCTGTAGGAAAAACTTATATTGCATACCAAAACGGAATGGTGGTTCTGAGAAAAATTCACTCATGCAACTGTTATAACTGGAGTAAAGCCTCATCTGTCATGAAACAACCATTTTCTCTTCAAAGGACAATGACAAGTTGGATATTCAATAATATTTGTCAAATGTTTTCTCAAGAAAGAGGAAGCGATCCTGTCAAAACTTTATCATTTACTGTGTTGGTTGCCAATAAATAAAGCCAAGTTTTAAAGTAGAAATCACAGTTCTGAAAAACTTGTATGTAGTAACTGCATACAATAGCTTCTCAATATTGTAAGAATATTCTGATACAACTAAAATATTAACAGATGTTAATTAAAAATACACTGTGGTACATGTGCAAGTATGGAGTATGTATATAGTTCAGCAAACTATTATTTTCCAAATGATCAATGTCCCATAATAAAATCATGCATGAGTAAAACAGCCAATAAAATGCAAGATTGCTAATGGGTTGTATTATGAGTGTTAAAAGTTCTTTTATATGGTTTCAGTTTCCATACAACTTACCTTCAGAATATTATCATTGGTCAAATTTTTGTGTATTAACATTATCTAATAAGAATATCCACAATTATTTTGGAGCAGTATAAAAATGTTCTTCCCTTTTCCAGCTACATATTAATGTGAGGCAAAACTGTTTCATGAACTTCAATAAAACAACACATTACAACACTGAAAGCAGCTCAGATACAAGAATCCAGCTGCCTTATAGTAAGATCAACATTAAAGATATCTAATGGGGCAGGAGAGATGGTTAAGCAGCTCATAGTGCCTACTACTCTTTCAGAGGACAGGGTCAGGTTCTCAGTACCATATCAGGAAGCTTGAAATTGTCTTTAATTCCAGTTCCAGGGATTCCAATGCCCTCTTGCTTCTGCAGACACCTGCATGTATGCATACTATGTGCATAAACTCACATGGGTATACATACATATAAATTTAAAACACCTTTTCTAATGGTATATTAATTAATATGTGTTGTAATTATATTTATAGTGGTAAATAATGACAAAGCTAGTCTGATGAAAATAAATGCTTGTTTGCTAGGGGTCAATAGTATAAAAGGGAAATGAATTCCTAAAATCATTGGAATAAACTTTTACTATCAAATTTAAAATACCCAGACATAAAAATCATAGTTCCTAACCAATGATTTTTAAAGATGATATTAGTAAGTTTTGATGCATTATATAATGATTTGAACAAGGCAGAAACCTTGTCTTCATATTTAACTTACAAAGAGAATTCTGTTTTACTAATTTCAGTTGTGATGTAGTCAGATTTTCTCCTTGTTGATTTTTATTCTCTTCGTCGCCTTCCTCATCTGGCACTACAAAATCATCATTCATGTAATCATCTCCATTTTCATCATCTGTGTAATCATCCTCATCCTCATCCTCATCTTCATCCTCATCATCAGTGCTTGAACAAGAGTCCTTTTCAGAGTCCTAATTAAATGAGAAGAAATGCTTCAATAAATATTGTGCGTTTAAAATAGTCAGCATGGCTTTAAAATTAAATCTGAAAGCAAAAAAAAAAAGTACACATTTTAAAGTTAACTACTGAACTTTTAAAACTGAAGAACTACAAATTTTGGTTATGATTGGTAAAATGTTTAAAATAAACATTAAAAATATGAGCAATTAAGAATGGGAATGATGATACATAACAACAAATTGTCTTTCAGTATTTTTTAAAAAGGAGAGTGGGGCTAACGATAAAATGTTATTATTAAATACAATAGTACATTACAACATTCAGGGATGCTTATTTTAAAAATTTAGCCTTATAGAAAATAGAAGAGTCAGAACTTTACTGTTTATAGAACATATTTCAGGTAAAAATTCAACAACAATAAAACCAACAAAATAAAACACACCTCAAAACTTCTACCACTATTGCGCCTCTGTCTTTCGGAGAGTTCCTGTAGCTTCTGGTGGTACTCTCGCTTTCGAGCAGCTGATGATTTCTCAGGAGTCTCTTGCTCCATTTCCAGTGAAGAACATTCATCCTCCACCACCCTGCGTGGGTGTTTAGCACTTGCTTTTCTAACTAGGATATCACTGTCATCGCTCTCATCACTGTCATACATTACAGAGGACAGCCGTTTTCTTTTTCCTGGCTTGATGTATTCATCTTCCATATCCTCCTCTAGGATTTGCCCAGTGTGTCTGTTGTGATGACCCTCTGTTTGACCTGGGTGAGCTTCATCATCTGGTAAGTCAATATGTTTGGTTTTCTTCATTTTTTCTTCATCTGCTGAACTACTACTGGTGTTAAGATGTTTACTGTTGCTTCCCTGACTTTCAATGTTGGTTAATTTAAGGTCTGTTTCCTTTTCTGGTAGTTCATTAATACCAGACTTTTTGCTAATATCAAGCTCTTCATCGCTGTCAGTACTTTCCCCACTATCATGCTCTTCATCGCTGTCAAGTTCCTCATTACTATCAAGCTCTTCATCACTATCAAATAACTGTGAGATACTTCTTTTAGTCCGGCGCCAATCAACTCGAGATTTTTGCTCAGGTGCTTGGGTTTTAGAATTTTTTCTTGTTTCATGTCTTCTAACATGTACCATTTTTCACTTAAGCTTCTATAAAATAAAGTTATTAGGAACATAATAGTGACAACCAGATTACAGTAATGAATATAAGGTACACATTAGTTTGGATTCATTAAATTGTTGACAAAGGTAAAAATCACATGAGATATTGGAGTTAAAGAAATCACAGAACAGTTAATAGTCAAATAATGAATTGAACAACTATTACTTTTTTGAACACCTGTTCTTAATTATGTTGTGCTGAAAAAAATACATAGAAAAATCACGGTCTTGTATCCTTTAGAAAACTATATTAAACTCAAGCATGCAAACATAATTAAGAAAAATTGAAGTAGTCAGTGTTAATAATAAAAATAAAAGTGATAGAAATATCAAGATATAGAAAGATTAGTAAGGTAATTAGTTCATCAAAATGATTTCAGACAAGTTAGTGTTGTGCACACAGAACTCTGGTGCTGATAACGAACATGCTATACTTAGTAAGTATCACTGAAAAGGGATAGACAGCTTCTGGCAGGAGCGAAGAGACAAGAACGGAAAATGATGAAATTACAAAGATATGGCTTGGGGGTGGCTTCGTGGGTAAACTGTCTGCCATGAAAGCATGAGGACCTGGGTTAAGATCTCCATCACACACATGAAAACTGGTTGTGGCAGTGCACAAAAAACCCAGAAGGGGACAGAGACAGGTGAATCTTAAGAGGTGGTTCCTTGGCCTATTAGTCCAACTGAAATGGTAAGTTCTAGGTTTAGTGAGAAATGTTGTTTCAAAAAATGTTAAGAAACAATTGAGTAAGATAGTTCTACATCCATCTCTGGTTTCTGCAAATACCTGCATTGGTGAGCAAACCCACATACATTGCATATATGTGTTCAGCACACACATACACGAAAGTACAAAGACGATTCATCCTCAGGCAAAGAAGGATTTAATATGGAACAGAAATAACATGGATTTAAAAGCACAAACAAGTTACATGAACAAAGTTACAATAGAGTAATTGATATAAAAAAAGAGATGACAATATAATGCTGAGAGATAACCTATCTGGTAAGAGTGTAGCCTCTATATTCCTTAGCAAAGTGGAAATGGAGTTATACTACAGTTAAAATGTACAGAATAATCCAACAAAACTTACTAAAAGTACAATAATACAGTCAAATGAAAATGGTAAGAAAGGTTTCATGGTAAAGCAGAACATAGTATAAGGAAGAAAAATCAAAGCTGTCAGTTCATGAATGTATAAAGTATATTTCACTAAATTTATCATATGCATGTATTAAACTACTGACAGGTAAGATAACTAGAAATTTAATAACACATATGCACTTTTGTGGTTGCCAAGGAATACAAGTAGAATCACAAAGTAATATGACCTCATAATACATGTATAAGAGCTTATGAAAATTATTATGACAATATTCTACAATAGCCCATATTTATTGTCTTTCTACTCTTAATAATATCAAAGGATAAAACAATAGCAGAACCTTAAAACAAAATAATCCACACATAATCATACTGCTCATGTGTTTTAATTCCAAACATTAGCTTCAAACATCCACTTCATCTCACGTCTAAGAGATTGTTAGACGCTTAGAGAAAAAGAAATGTTTATAAAATAAAGATTAACTGTCATTGAAAATATTAAAAAGTGTGTAACTGTGAGAATAGTATCAAAGCTACAAAACCAAAATAATTTTTGCAATGTTGGCATCACTGGACCAAGTTTATAGTGTTCCAAAATTACTACTTGGAAGAGGAAAGAATGTATTATTCATTTAATACATTCTTTAATTTAATTGTACTAATCCTGGTATGGTTATGAGGTAGTATGTCTCCATATAATGGTAACTTCTCACATAAAACCAGAACAACAGAAATTATAATATTATACACTAAAAATGATCTCTATAGCATAGGCTAAAATGTAACCTTGTGATTATATCTGCTACAGGATATGATTAATGTAACAGTAATAGTAAGTAACATATAACAATTAGTAAACCAAATGGCCTATTTGAATTATGGTTGGCTATAATCTACATTAAGTGTTATATTAAAGCCAAAAGATAAAAGCAATAAGGATAAATAATAAAAATTACAAACACCCCTAGATTATACTTCAAAGCATGCCTTTTGTATGCCCCACTGCTTTCCAATATTTCTACCTAATTTCAACAGTTTCAAAACAATTTTTCTTTTGTCAAACACCAGAATAAGATGACAGTTTATATTTGAAAGTCTTAAAGAGATATTTGTAAGCACATATAATTTTTCATAAGCCAATTTTGTATATGTACAGTTCACAATCATGGCTTTCTAGGAAACCTGTTTGAATTGTGAGAAATAATAAAAATATTTCAATAAAAAGACAGGTATGGTTTCATTAGATTCATGAAAGTAAATATGGACAGTAAGAAATATTAAAGTGAAAGATGATTTTATTTTAGTATACAAAACAAATTCACATACATGAGATTGCTCTTATAAAAGTAGAACATGCTCAAAGCACATTTATTTTTTTAGTGGGTAATTCCTAGGACAACATTAGAAATGAATAAGACTAACATATTATTAAGAAGATATATGACTGTACATAATGATGGTACAAAAAATTATCCATACTTAAAATTGATCAGTATAGTTTCATATGTATTTTTAAACCTTGATAAAGAAGATAGTATTTATCTTCATATATAAATATTAAATACAAGGACATAGAGTTTAAATGACTTACCAAAGATCACAAAGCTTGCTAGTGACAGAGCAGGGATTAGAAAGCAGGTCTTTTGACTCCCCGTCCAGTGCTACACAATGACGGCTGGTAATATCATGTGTACAGGTAGTAAAAATTAACGCTTTAAAGTAGTATTCTATTTCTTATTCATGCTAAATTTTAGTTTTGGAAAATAATCATCAAAATGGTGAGCATTAACAAACATGCTTTTTAAAAATTATGTAACTGAATTTAAGTATACATGGGTTAAGTCAGAAACTTTTGAAAGTTATCCATTAGACAAGAAAAAAATGTGCAAAGAGATGGAAAGCTGCAGACTTCCCTCTACCATTTCTTTGATGACATCAAAACCAAAATTTAAAGGAAGAAAACTTGGCAAGGTCCAAAACAAAAATTTCCATGGAAAACCACAGACTTTGACCATTTTAGAAGGTATACTTTAATTAAGTTCACTAGTTACAGTTTCACTAGGCCAAATGCTTATTTGCCAGGGCTTCTGTCCTATTTAAAAATAGTCATTTCTATCAATAAGGTAAAATAAACCTGTTATTAAATGTGAGATTTTGAAAAATCTAGCATTTTAGAAAAGCTAGCTCTTCTTTTAAAATTATGGATATCTTTACTAAATTATCTGGGGAGGGAAGAATGGCAGAGAAAAAAGGTGAGTGATCTTGGGGAGAAAAATAAGAAAATGAAGTTGAGTTCATAGGTAAGACAGCTTCATGATTAGAATTTGCCTGATAAAGAATCCATGCAAATGGATATAAGTTTTGTTTATGCTAAATTGAAAAATTCAAATGAGAATTTTATTAAGATGTCTTACCTTCAGGCAAAAAGAAAAACAAAGATGCCATCAGAAAGCATCAAATAAGTGAAGGAAGGTCAAAACTACCCTGGGCTTAACAGTTTTCATGTACAATGCACATATTAACTTCGATGTTGCCAAAGAAAATTAATTCATGTTTGTATCCTTCTTTCAAAGTAACTTAACAGGCAAAGGAAGGTACTGTGTTGATGCTACTTGAATCTCTTGTCAGGAGGAACATTTTCTTTTTATAACCAAGAAACCAACATAGTAGTCACAAAGAATGCTCTACAAACATTGTAGGAAGACGATAGCTACTTAGCTCAGATTTGAAGTACAAATCCTATGATAATTTTGAAAATTCTACCAGGAGGAATTAATTCATGAAATCTGTAAAAATATCAATACCTCTTTTATGTTTTCTTTTATATGGTGGAAAGGAAATGTTATAAACCAAAGAGTTATTGACATGCAGTGGTGCTACTAGAAGAAATAAATGCAGTCTCTGCTCCCAAGGAGCTCAAAATCTTATGAAATTACTTGGGACATCAAAATTAAACCAGCACAATAAAGGATTTGAGGGCTACATGCATGATTCTGTTTAAAATTTTACCACATTGGTCTGAGTCAACTTGTTATAGTCCTCCCATTGGCTGGTAAAGGTGGCAGCATATGTAACAGTCAGAAAAAAAGGAAATGATGAAGTAAATATATAAAGAGGCAAACCAATGCCTCCCATTTGACATCATAGTTCAATACTTTGTAGAATGGGTCCTGCCAGCCTGGTATCCGGGATAACTAGATCACTCAATAACATCTGTGATGAGGGCTGTGGCTCCCTAAATCCAGCAGGCCAAATGGAAGAGAGAAGAAATGATCCTTTGGGGTGTGAATATCAGGATCACATTCATGATTACCAACCTGGCTCTCTGGTGGTGGGGCTCATTCCCCAGATACAGGAAGTGGGTGCTCAGGCCTCCAAAATGGAGGGACAGCTGTTGCTAGAAAACAGGAACCTTTGATACAGCTTCACCAAAACCAGGCGTGAGCCGTAGAAGGGCTGTGTACCCACAGAAAAGGATCTGGAGAGAAAAGGAACCTGAAATGAGTTGTGCACTCAGATAGGGGTGTGCAGAGAAAGTCCCAGAAGGGTCTGTGCACCGATAAGGGTCCCAGGAAACAGCTGAGGAGACATTCATGGAGGGCTGTGCTCCCATAGGCAGGGTCTGAGGAGACACCCGCGGATGGCTGTGCTCCCACAGGC